TTCATACTAAGAAAGGGGTTCTTGTACTCCGGGAGATATAAAAATATGCAAGACTCCTACTTCTATATTAGAATTAGAATGAGTCTATTAGAATATTGTATACGTAAAAAGAACATTCAATCTTTTTTTTCTCTCATTGAAATTCATTTTCAATTTTGCGGAACGAAAATCTTATCCTGTTGATAGAGGGTTCCTGATTACTAGTCAAGAATAAAGTAGAATAATAGATCTATCTGATTCGTACTACAATTAGAAATTCTAACTTCTGTCAGGAAAGAAAACTCCTTTTTTGTTACTTTGATTCCGATCAGCTAAATACTTGTTGGCTACAAATAACTGAACCTAGCGATTTACTTTATTTGATTTAAGGGGATGGAAAGTAGAAGAAAAGAAACCGTGGAGCTAAAATAACTCACTTGGCCTTTAAAAGGATTACGTGGTACGATTGAATCGAATAAGCCTTTATGGAATGAATACTCAGCTACTTGCAAACCATAAGGTATTTTCTTATTGAATGTTTCTTCAACTTAATTATGCCAATAACATGATCTGACAAAACAACAAAGTTATTTATAACATGATCCAACAAGTCAACAACAAATTTATTTATGACAATAATGATAAATGTATGCTTACAATAAAAAGTACAAGCATATGATCAATTCGTGGTACGGGATTTATCCTTTCTCGAAAGAACTCTTTGTGGAATTGCAAATAAGAAAATTACAAAAAAAAAAATGCAAGCAAAGAGAACAGATGTGAATTGGGATCTGCTGCAAAAGAATCACAAGTGAAACAAGTTGTATTACATATTTTGGAGTCGATCGTGTGATCAAGCTTCATTGATTGTTGAATTTATTGGCAGCAGGAATACAAGATATTAGTCCATGAACAATACATTCATTATATACATGGATATACTCTCTATATCTTATACACACATGGGTCGCCTTTGAACTTGAACTCATTTCTAATAGAGCCATATTTATCAAAAACTCATGTTTCATGGAGCCACGCTTCATTTTACAACACATTATATGCAACAAACTAGTAGGGCTCGTATTTCAAGCTCCAAGTTTCAACATTCAAAATGGCTACAAGCCAATTTATACATTCCTCTCTTTCTCCCTTTACATCCAAAATGGCTACAAGCCAAATTCCTCTCTTTGTCCCTTTGCATTTCCAAGTGCCAATTCGTATGTGATCTGAAGGTTCCAGTATTTATAGTGTACCAAAGGCCTTTGTTGCATGTGGTTTTGGGCATAAATTGCTCTCTTGACAGTCCTGTTTTTTCTGAGAAAACACTTAATTTTCTCCAAGGGGATGCAACAACCCTTTTCCTCATACATACCTCTTCTCGATTATCACCAGTAATCCCCACATGAACATTCTCCATCCTTAAAATGATGAAAATGCATTGGATCCCTTATCACTATACTCCGATTCTCAATCTTGGTCACAAATTTCGCAAATATATGGCAATCACCACATATCCTTAAGTTCTTCATAATCCTAACAGGCCTCCCATGAGGAATGCTAACCAACCCCCAAATGCCAGGGCCATCTTCTCACTGTGGTATCAAAGTGCCTCCTCCTTTTGTTCATCTTCGAGGTCATGCAACACAAAATTTGTATCAGGTACATAACATCCTTAATTCTTCCCATCAACCTGTTGAGCTCTTTTCCTATGGCCTCCATTCTGGGGTGCGAAGTATCTCCCAGAACAAAGACATGGATTTCTCTCTCTACATGTATCCTGTTACAGCCTGGCTCCTTTTTCACTCCTCTCTCACTCATCTTTCTCCTCACTTCTACAACGTTGTCCCACTGAGAAGAAACGGCACAAGTGTTAGAGAGAAGTATGTAATTCCCTTCATGTTCTGGTTCAAGTTCAATTACACGCTTTGCTGCATGTATTGCTAATTCCATGTTTTGGTGGACTCTGCAAGCTCCAAGAAGAGTCCTCCAAATAACAGCATCTGGTTCACATTTCATCTCTCTAATGAAATTTGCAGCTTCTTCACCCTAAGAGATCGACCATGCATCCATAATGCTCCTTACCTGGGTTGACCCCATAAATCTTTTCCATTAATTTGAAATAGTTCCATCCATCATTAACTAAACCAGCATGGCTACAAGCAAAAAGAACACCCACCATAGTTATATAATTTGGTTTAATCCCTGTTTCTTTCATTCTTTCAAAGAGGTTGAGGGCCCCTTTTCCATGGCCATTTTGAGCCATACCCAACACCATAGTGCTCCATGAAATCACATCTCGCTCTACCATCTTATCAAAAGCCAAGCTCGCTTCCTCTAGACTCCCACACTTGGAGTACAAGTCCAAGAGTGCGTTATTTACTATCGAGTCCCTGCCGGATTTGAAACTATGGGCATGTACTTGTCGGCCTAGCTCTAGCGAAACCAAGCCTGTACAAGCTCTAAGGACACCGGTTCAGGTGGCTTCATTTGGGAAAAAGCCAGCCCGTTTCATTCTCGCGAAGAACCTAAATGCCTCAACTACATCACCATTTTGGGCAATTGCCCAAATTATAGAGTTCCAAACAACTTGATCGCCAGTTTCCATTTCATTGAAAACACAAAGCCCACTTTCCAAATCTCCATTTTTTGCATACATATCGATCAAAGCACTTCTAACAAAGACATCAGACTCTAACCCACACTCTAAAATCAAAGCATGCACCTGTTCAAGTGTTCTAATCCTGCCACATGCTCTTAAAATAGCAGAAAAAGTGTACATATTGGGCATTATACCCTCTCTAAGCATCAAAACCAGGAGTCTCAAAGCTTCTTCATTGGAACCTGTATTAGTGTATGCCGATATCATGGTCGTCCATGAAACAATGTTTCTATGAAGCATTTTGTCGAAAACTTTGCCCGCTTCCATGGAAAGACCTAATTTTGAATACAAGTTAAGAATGCTGTTGAGTAAGAAAGTATTTGGGGTGAAACCAGGAGATGAGATATGAGCATGTAGGAGCTTACCTTCTTCGATTGCTTTGTGTCTGACTGGTTCGTGGTTTGGAAATGGCGGGGATTTGATCATTGTAGAGAAAGGGATGCGTTTTTATGGCTCTCAGAAAAGGTCTCATCATGAGACCGTTGGGATTTGAATTTGAAAAGTTCAAAGAATTTCATTTAAAAATTTCGAGGAAAATTTGAAGCGGTAACTGAAGGAAATGTGATGCATTTCGTCCAAAACTTTACTCAATTATGACTTGTCATATTTTAGCGAAAATTCAGAAACAACAACCCTAGCTACCAACTTGTCATATTTTAGAGAAAATTCAGAAAGAACAACCCTAGCTACTAAGTCATTTTCTGTTTTATCCCTTCAATTGGTGCATTCACAAGATCTTTCTTGTGCCAAATTTTGGGGTTTTATATAAACATCCTAACGAGATGTACTCTACATGAAGTTGAGAGAATATTTGGTTCAAGGGCCGGGTTTTAAAAATGCAAGAGAAATGCCAAAAAGGATATAGATGGGAAGTAGTGAGAAAATATATAATGGCTTAACTGCAGGATTAAATCGGTTAGCAGGTTTCGATTTTGAGCGGTTTTAGTGATCAACTGGTATTTAAAAATAAAATTAATATATATATATATATATATAGATATATAAATTCTTAAAAATAAAAAATTTGGTTTGTAATGCATTTTTAATATTCTTTACATTATAGAAAAGATTAAAAATTGTTTTTGTTATTAATACTCACTGTTATTCAAAAATCAATTCATTAAAATCTATTTTTTCATTAATTTTTAGCTTCATTTGAATGTGTTTTGTTTTAATTATTTTTTATATGCTTTGCTCATTTTAGTAGATTTTTTTTTTTTTAAATACTTTTTTGACCTCTCAGGTTAGAACGGTTGAATCACCCTCACCAGTTAGACCGGTTAAACCGTTTCTGGGCTCATGTCCGGTTAACCGTTCCAGTTCTATTTTGTGAACATTGTTTATGGTCTAACTGAGGGTATAATGTTGACAAAACGGAACGACAAAACATGATTCGTGTAGTTGACTCCAAATAATTGTAATAAAGCGCATATGATGATGATACAATATTTATTGACAATATTGAAAGTACTTAATTCGGCTCCAATTCACCAAGATATTCAACCGGAGATAGTTAGAGAATCGGGCGAACCAAGTGTTGAATTCAAGCTTCTAAGTACCATCTATTGGTAAAATACCAAAGATAACATTGGGCTCGAGTGTCTTTCTTGAATTTTGTGCAACTCCTCTTGACCCTCCAAAATTGCAAATCTCGAGCTGATTCAAGCCTTTCATCACTGACTATTGAACCACTGCATGGAAGTGTATATGTGTTTCTGCCATGCGCTTGTGAATATATTTTTTATTGGGTTTTGTTAGGGTACGCGATTTGGTAGTGTATATATGAAGTCCTTAATATTTTTGTATATTTAGATACCTTTATTTTTATAGTATAGTAATTTTTTGTTTAAAGGTAGTTTAAGTAATTAGTTAAGAGTAAATATAAATTTTTAATAGAAACAAAAGTATTTATTAATAATAGTCGATAATGACATCACCTTTAAGATGCAATTATTTTTTAACTACTAACTTAATGCTACTATTTTTTTATAGCAATATCCCTTTTACCTTTCTACATGACAAAAAATACCTCTATTTAAAAAATTTTGTTTACAATTAAAGAATATTTAAGTGTCAAGAAAGGTTAAGGACTTTAAAAATATACACTACTAAGCTGAACAAAACTCATTTCTATTAAATATAAATTTATTTGAAATTATAAATTATAAAATTATTTATTTTTTATATAAAAAAGTCACAATCACTTTTAACTATTAAATTATAAAACCTACCAAATAGAATAACGTAAAAAAACATAAAAAAATATTATTTTAGACTCTATGCCTAATCAATAATAGATCGACAACCAATTATGACTTTCTTATTTCAAAAATAAATAACCTTATTGTATTTTTTTGTTACAAAAGTTACCTGTTGTTTGATTTGACATCTAATCGCGAGTACACTAACTGATGGTTGAATGATTATTGTCTCTTTATGCCAAAGCTTAAAAAAAAAAAATCTTATCCCATGTTTTCTTAGAGGGAACATGCTTTCTCATACTAAAATCTAAAATAAAAATTACAATGTTAAAGGGTATTCCTGTAAACAATCAATGTATCAAGAGCTGATTAGTAAAGAAAAAAGAAAAAGAAAAAAAATGAAAAAGTGCAGAAAAAATAGGCTTTTTGTTAATCGTACACCACCCGAAATGTCTAAATTCTCAAATTAACCCTCGTATCTGAAAAAAAAACAAGTAAAATCCATTTTCTTCTCTTTCAATGGAGGAGCCTAGACCTTGCAGAAAACCCTAAAGTCCATCTGTGAATCTGCATCCAATTCCAGCAAAGATCGTAGCCGTCCAACGGTTTTGAAAGATGCTCTGGGCAAAATGGTGGCCATCCAAAGATTCAGAAACTCATACTCTGAAACCCCAAATCTCACATGGTTCTGGCTATGCATCGATCCAATGATATGATATGGAGGGTTTATAGCTCTTTTATTTGATATTTGAAATATTTATGCTTCCAGCTTTTGAAATCTAGGATTTTTACTCTAAAAGTGCTGCTGAAGGTTAAGAGTTTTTAGTCTTTGGAGTTGGTAAGAAATCGTGGTTTTTTTCCTTTGAAAATGTTTTCGGTGATCCAATCAACGGATCAACAGTCGATATGGGCATTTAGTCCTTAATGCCCATGAAGAAATCAACTGTTTGTAGAAAGAAGTCTAGGGTTCGCTTCTTTACAATGGCTCTGGGGATCAAAGAAACAGTCAATTAGGGGATTTTTAGTCTTTCGATTTGGTGAAGAACTCTGGGGTTTTTGTTATTGAAAATGTCTCTGAGGATCAAAGCGGTGGTAGATAAGTTTGTGAAGGAGTTAAAGGAGGCTCTAGACGCAGATATTCAGGATCGAATCATGAAGGAGAGAGAAATGCAAAGCTACATCGAAGAAAGGGAGCGAGAGGTTGCAGAGAGAGAGGCAGCTTGGAAAGCTGAGCTTTCGCGAAGAGAGGTAAAGTGCTGAAACTGTGGGATGATAATTAATAAGATTAGCATTTTAATTGGATATGGAAACTCAGATTTACTTAAAAAACCAAAAAAAAGGTTAGAGATATCAAAATTAATATGTATTTGGAGCAATTCCCTGTGTTGTTTGCATCATCTTTGCTTTGAAGCATTTAGTTTTGGTCCTTTGAAAGAATTCGAAGTTGTTGGGTACGAGAAACTTATGATCATGAGACTAATACTCACACATTTGCAAAGAGAGTGAACAAAGAGAGCTAGATTTAGGTACAATTTCCTCTCTTTTTTTTTTCGAAGCCTGAAGTCACAATTTCTGGGACTCAAACTGGGGTCTTTCTAGTGAGAGCCGAGTAACCTCACCATTTAGACTACAATGGATGTTTAGTTTCGAGTTCAATCTTTGTCTCTTTTTTTTGGTTAATAATAATATTTCCTTATGCATTTACTTTATAAAATTAATGAAAATTCTACAAAAAGGAATTCCTTTTAGTTGTGCATGCCATTTATTGTTCTAAATCAACATTATCTTGTGACTTTTTAGTGGGCCATGGTGCTCATTTTTATTTAAATCTCAAAATGGTCATGGTGTTCATTATGGTAATAACATTCATAGTTTACATATTTGACCTCGACCCGGCTAGTGCCTTGGCCAATTTGGTCCAAAGCAAAAGATCCGTTTCATCAAGCGCGGAACAAATCTAACGTTTGACCGGTTTTGTCCTTTTGGATCGACCAATTATAACCGGTTAGATGGACTAAACAAAGTTATACAAATTCTTTCATAATACATTTCATATTTTTAAACTATTCTTCTTATTTTTTGCCTTTACTTTCAATAATTGTTTTGATTGGGCTAGGCCCCTCATGGTGGCCAGTCACGTTCTAAGAGCACCTATAATATCTATTTAAAACCTGCAAGTATAAATTCAAGATATTACAATTAAATTAGATGCAATTATATAATTAGTATATGATGGACATTGCTTATGGGCTTTGAAGTACAAAAATTTATAGGCTCATGATTCTAGGTAGTCTGTGATTGATGGGAATAATAAAAATTTTGGGTGTGTTGACAGATGGGAATAATACAAATTTTACAAAGGTGGGAGAAGTGTGGGTAGAATAATATCGAGTGTCTTTCATTGGTTTGGTGTTGGAGTTTGGAGGGTTATGGTTGGGATTCTTATGACAGATTGGAGAGCTACAGGACTTAACTGCATCTTCTCACCATAGGTTCAGGACTAGCAAGTGTTAGGAGTTTAGTTAAGGATAAATTCCTGGAAATGGAAATGAGATTGCAAGGTTAATTAGGTGGGGCAGTCAATATAGGCTAATGACATGGTTCTCTAATGGTCTCAAGATTTTCATGTTTTCCTTTTATCCCATGCGATTGTAAAAGTGGTTCTCGTTTTCATATTGGTTTAGATCCGATGATCTCAAGATCTTTCATGTTTTATTTTCAGAGAGGTTCTCATGTTACTTTCATACTAGTTTGGACTTGGAGCTGGATATCCAGTGGTCTTGAAATATTGCAGATCCATGAAAGAGAATCGTTGAGATGGCTAACTTTTTTTGGAGATCCTCCCTCCCTATGTGCATATGGGAACTGATTATTTCATGGCCTCCCTAAATTGGAATAAGTGCCGGGGTGTATTTGAGCCGATATTATTATTTCCACTTTGCTTATGTTTGATTAAGTTGCCTGTCACCTCTAGGAATAGATCTTTCCAGCAACAATTGTCTTTTTCGCCTTGTTAGCCAAAAAACAAGTCATGGTTTTATAGTTACTGCAATTTTTTTTTTTTTCTTTGAATAGTAATTTGTTTCTTGAGAAAAAGGGAAGTATATATTATTCGGATGCAGTTTCTTTAGGGCCCAGAGTAAGGCCTCACCTCGAATCCTTGTCCATAAAGCGCAGTATCTAAAATCTCCATGATGCCTCTAAAATCAATTTTCAACACCGACTATGAAATTTGAAGCTAAAAAAATGGTACAGATCATGAGGATCCATGAATACTTATTGTTAGGGCGAAGTGGATGGTCTAGATAATGTGTTACAATATAAACTATTTTTAGGGCCTAAAATCCTAATTTTTTCTGACAACCAAATTGGTCAACACCAAGATGATCGATTTGAAGGTTTTCGGACGCTAGAATTGCAATTTTCAGTGAGTTTTGAGATGAGGCTTTAATTATTTTGATAGTGCTGTAGCCCTATCAAAATTTCCATTTCATTTTCCTGGTTGGAAACTTGAGGGCCAAAAAGAAAATAAAAAGACCTTGCTTAGTAAACATCAATGTGTGACCTTCGGTCGCCATGGCTTACTCGGTAGGTCCTAGTTGACTTGCCTGAGCCAGCACTGAGCAGCCTAATGACTTAGAAAAGCCAAAAAAAAAGCAAAAATTATAAAAAGAAAATCATCTTTTCTTTTTAAAAAATAAAAGCATATAAAAGATGAGTAGATTTTTTTAAAAAATAAAAAAAGAGGACTGGCTGAAAATCATCTTTTCAGAAAAATGGAAACTCAGAAAAATGAAAAAAATAAAACAATAAAAAGTATAAACAAAGTTAAATATAAGTCAAATACAATTGATTTAATCAAAGATTAACTCACTTATTAACGGAATACATAAATTATATTGTAATTATATACCCCTGAGTTTGGGGGGTTTTGGGGATCGGAAGCCTGCTGAGCCCAAGTATCTTGGGCGAGTCTGAATAAACTCCCTCCCACTAGTCAAACAGTGATAAACATTCACCTTAGTAATTGGTTTCCCAGTCTCATGTTCTTTTAGCTTTCAAGTTTAAAAAAAGTGCCAACATAAATTGAGGACCTTTGGTGGTGGCCTCGTTTGTTTCTTTGGATGATAGATGTCAGGCATTAATTTCATTAGAGTACATCTTTTAATGGGAACTAATGAACTGTCTTCTCTCTTCTTTTGCTGTCATGCCCAAAGAAAGAACCGCATAGTCTTTGTTGAGATGGCATTTATCACCTGGATGTTTCCAAGTAGAATACTATCACTGTTGGTGTTGAGCTATCTTGTTGGTGCTATTCCCTTTGTGATTCTTCTCTTGATTATTGAAAAAGAACTCTTGATTATCAGGGCGTAAATTGAGTTTTCCTTGTATTGAAAAAGAACTCTTGATTATTATGGCGCAACTGTCTATGTAGTTATGTTGATTGTGTGTTTCTTGCAGGCTGAGATTGCTCGGCATGAGGCAAGGTTAAAGATAGAGAGAGAGAACCTAGAAAAGGAGAAGAGTGTCCTCATGGGTACTGCATCAAATCAGGACAACCAAGATGGTGCTCTTGAAATCACTGTCAGCGGGGAGAAGTATCGCTGCCTCAGATTTTCAAAAGCAAAGAAATGAGAGTGGATCCTTTGATCAAGGAGAAGGTATGCACAAAGTTAGTGCCTTTTCACCTTTCATTTAAAGGTAATGGGGATTATGGTATCTCATATTGCGCTGACAAGTTCGTTGCCATTTATTAGAAAATTTATTGGGTTCTGTTGTAATGGTGAATTGTAAATTGGTTGAGTTTATTCCATTATTGCTTGGACAGGAAATATGCCTTTTTCTCAATAAAGATGTTCTTATTTGTTGTATGAAAAATGCTTTCCTCTTTTTGTGTTTCTTTCTAGTTTATGTATATTTTGTAGAGAAAGTCTCGAGTATATTAAATCTAACAATACTCTTAATTGTATTCTGTCATGGATAAGTTGGAATGATCAATTAGTTCCCCTTGGTAATGTAACTGGTAATCTGATCGGTTCATTCAATGGGAATCTGATTCAATTTGTCTCGTGGTATTGTTACATTTTTGCGGTGTAGTTAGGTGGTTGTGACCTCTGGAGATACTCGAGGGATATCTTTTCGAGGCTGTTTGACGTTGTTTTGATTTGTTTAAAGGGAAAGTATATTTTAGGGCCATAGCATTGCAAAGCTGCACGTAAAACTCACTGCTAAAGGTAGTTTTCGTGCTGGAAAACCTCTATATTGATCATCACAACCTCAATTACCATGGAAATGAACTTGTAAAGTGTTTAATGTACCACCCATGTTAATTTTTTTTAGAGATGTTATACATTTTGGAGCTTCAAATTCTATAGGGAAAAAATATGTTTGCAGTGCATGACAAGGGTTTCTTTTATTATCCTTGATGGAGCGGAATGACGGAACAAGATTCATGTAACCGACTCCAAATGGATTGATGGAGCGGAATGACGGAACAAGATTCATGTAACCGACTCCAAATGGATGGGATACGGCTTGGATGATAATATAACGAACAAGGGTTTCTTTCTGCGACCCTCATTTGTTTTTTAGGTTTTCCTACTTTATATTCTTGTTCAATTGTGCATGTTTGTAAATAATACTTACCGTCTACCTCAACAATGGATGATGTGGGCAATGGTTATTCCTGCCACCATTGTTTCAAGTGGAAGAGCTTTTCATCAGCACTGTGCATCCACGATGAAAGGTGGGGATGATAGTAAACTTTGCACCATACACTCTTGATGCTTACATCTAACAAGATAGTTCTTAATCTTTCTTTCGTAGAGAGTTGAACATAGGGATGGCAGGGGGCAGTGTGGCTCAGCTTGGCCTGATTGACCCCCAAAAAACTAGGGCTTGGGTTACAAAATGTAAGGCTAGTCTAGTATGTTTCAAGGGCCTAGACAGGCTTGGAACTGAGCCATACGAAGCCCGTTCCGGCCTTTTTTTTCTCTTTAATTTTTTTCATCTCCAATTTTTTTATTCTATCATAGCTCGGCCCAGTCTGCCCTGGCACTAAAAGGGCCAAGTCTGGCTCTATTGGGGTTAGTGCCAGGTTGGCCCTGCTCAGGCCTTCGTCTATTGTCAAGCCGTGTTGAACAAAACACTCTCTATCAAAGGCGGACCGGGTCATTAGAAGCACAGCCGTGCCCAAATTGACTCAGATAGCTTGGCCCTGTTGGCCCTCAGACTAACTCTTGACCAGGACCAACCCAGCTTGCTTGACCCTAAGGATAATTCTTGACCTGGGCTCTAGATCGTGACTTGGGTTTCAATCGTTTACTTTTGAAGGGACTTGGTTTCTAGGCGGCAATGCCCGTGTATGTAAAAATACAGGCCTTAATAAATCTATTTTTGGGATGGATTTTGGATTTAATTTT